CCCCCCCCCCAGCACTCCCACAATTCAAAGCGTAACCCTTGATATGATGTCTCTTGATCAAATTAACTTGATAATCCAGTAGAATTACAGCACAAACTGCGTAAATCTAAGACACTAATCACTACCTATGTCACTAAACCATTTAATTATCGATAAAAGAAACAAGGATTTTACTTCTTAATCGCCTTATTTAATTCGATAATCATCAATAAAAATCAAACGATAACGCACCGCTTATGGAAGCTCAAAGATGTATTTTATACCAATTGGGATCATCCATTAGGCCTCTTCAAAAAATCAGAAAAAAGCGTCTATGAACTACGATAAGTAAAACAATTACCGAATTTGCAAAAGAAAACACTACGAATCATTGGCTATCGACTGCAGCAACATACACGACAGCAGCGCCAACTCTTATAGATTATTATTATTATGTCAGATAATCGCATTGGAAATACTCAAAGATGGGATATTCTCCTATTAGTATCGAGCGTAAATTTCAGAAATTCAGGGCAAGCTCTACGAATATTCGGTCTAAAAAATAGGTCAAACTTTAAAATTCTGGATTACCCCAAACTCTGAAAGTTTTGAGAGCAAACACAGCACCCAAAACCCAATTCGAACTTTTCGCACCTGAAATCTTTGGCATTTAATACTGCTTTTTATTTCTTACTTAACTAATACTTAATAAAATGATCCTATCAGACCATTACACAATGAAACGAATTAAAAGAATAAAATTTAAATTTTGCATAATAACTGCAGGTAAAAGAATGACCTGATGACATTAATAGCTCTAAAAGAGACAGTCAGATAGATGGTCAGGTCTATATAATAAGACTGAAATTCTCACCCACTAAAAAGAGGTAAAATTTGGAATATTTTAGGATATGCATAATAATTATGGACAATAACAGAAATTCTTGGTCAGATCAATGCAATGACCCTCAAAACGGAAGACCACGCATAGCACAAATTCGCTCATGAGGAGCAGAGGAAAGCATAGTTAAGAGCAATTTCCCAATGTTTCACGTACATCATTGCTAATGATGACAAAAAAATACCAACTTAATACTCCCGACCTAAACGTGACCTTTCAAGTAGAAATAAGCGTTGAATGACATTTCTAAATTATCCACAAGAATTCTTTCAAATATAAACATTATGGCCCTGAAATTGATTAATTCAAATACAAAAAAATGGAAAGCAGGATGGCATTGGAATATGGAACCTAAAGAGGCACAACATATGTGATGCTGACTAGAGTTTAACCTCGACACAATGCTCTTAGAATCGCATGACAAAGAATACATTTTTCCAAATGAGGAATAATCGCTATCATTCAGATGAATCTGCGTTGTCAAGGTCAAACAACACTGACAATTTCGCTGTATCAGAATGCTCCAGTAAATTAGAAGCACAGTGAAAATACAAAAAGCTAAATATGTGAAAAGTTCTCCTTGTCTAACTCCTTTTTAATTGAATGGTAAAATTTCTGAGTTAAAGAGAAGAACTGAAGTTGAGAGAGTAAATTTCCCTTGACAAAAAAATTATTATAGTGATAAAGTGTTCTGGGTATTGCATGCAAACATTCCAATATGTCCTACTTCATTCGATCCATCTTCCCAACCCTCCTCCACCCCTCACCCCGTGCGCATGTGTGGAATCGATGCGTGCACACAGAGGCACAGCACACTTAACAGTAGAGAACGCGATTGGTTAACTTCACGTGGGAGAAACATCTATGCGCACAATCGCATAGGAAATCGTGTGCAGTGCCGAGTGCTAATGTGTGGTAGAATCGATAGGTGAACGCGCACCACATGGCTATATACAAAAATTAGGCAATTCGACATTTGTCTTTTCTTTTGAATCCTTCCCCTCACTTGTACCTCCAGACTAAATAAAGACTTGAAAGAACACTGAGAAGATTTCATAAATTGATATCTGGTCATTTTATTAAATTTGGCATTACAGATCCCTCAACAACATGAAGATTTGAAGGCAATAAGAATAAATCTCATTGGGGTCAAGTTAACAGTTTAGTGTAATCTCGACTAAATAAAAAATTGTAGATTACGTTGATCATATCGTATACCAGGTGATTTATTTACAACGTTAAAATTGACACATGCTTTCCTTAATAACTTTAAAAATACCACCAACCAAGCCAAGAGAATTGTGTGAAATAAAATATACACCAGATATCCCACATTAAAACAACAAAGAATAAACTAAAAGTAAAACTAAAAACTCACAGAGATGGGTTCTTTTTAAAAGATAATCGGAGGAAATTTGTAGACATTAAAAAATAGCCAGTTGGTATAAAAATGTGAACCCTGTACAAACATGAGATGAAACTTAGCAAACAAATAAACACTAAATAATTAAAAGGAAGGCAGATTTAATAAAAAATAACAAAAGGCCAAACATTACGAATGAATTATCAACTACATACCGACCAAATTTGTATTATAAATGGCATAGAGAAGAGACAAATCAACATGAAATTAGTTCTATGATTAATATAACAAAGAACTTTTAATGGCAGTAATCAGATAATAATTTGTCAAGCAGAGGCAATAAAGTTTTGAATCCTATTCTTCCGAAAATGCGCTAAGAAAGTATGCAAAATTTTTGCTGAAAAAAATTCGAAGCTAATAACATAGGATAGGCGGATTTAACATTCGCGTACGAAGAGACTGCCAAAAAATATAAAGCGCACAAATAATGACACGACATAAAATGTAAAATAATCAGGTATGACTAATCTAACTAAGCGCAGGTGCGTTATCTAATCACAGTTAAAAATTTTAAACCTCTGGGAACCTCGAAGTAATGGAAGAGAAAAATTCGCACACACAAATTGAGTTATAAGTAGAACGCATTTTATACAACATAAAAAATGGATAAATTGCGCAAACAAAGACCATGAATAGGTCTTACCGATTATATACAGAAATTGTGGGTGAATGAATGCATGTTAAAGTGATAATTAACTGGTAGTCGAGGAAATAATTTTTAGAACTGCAGTATAAAAATGGGAGAATAAAATTCGTACTTAGCTAATTCAGGATAGGCACAAGAGGCGCAAGCATGAAGAGGTGTCCATCCTTCATTGTCTTGTGCATTAACATCTGCATTATTTGATAAAAGAAACTGTACAACATCATAATTTTCGTCGATGCATGCCTAATGAAGAAAGAATTAAAATCCACAATGGGTAAAACCTGGTGAAGGACAGTTAATCCATCAACATTTGTGACGTTAATATCCACGCCGTTAGCTAGAAGTGCTTTAACTTCATCCAAATCTGCATTTTTGCATGCGGCATGAAATTGAACATCAATAGGAAAATTAACACGTTCAGGTGGTTTAGGGTTAACGATTTCTTTGTTCATTTCAGAAGCTTCCCACGACTCGATTTGCTGTCGACGATTTGCAGTATTTAGACTGCTGCATGTAAGCATTTGTCATGTGCAAATGATGTGAAAATATAGAAAGTCAAACGAAAGAGCTCCGATGGGACCCTAAAATATTTGACTGGGTTGGCTCATAAAACGCCATTTAAAACAAAATAAAATTGAGCAAAAACTTTGAAGTAATAATATAAACATATTCAGAAGTATAATTTTTATATAATTATTTTTCTTACTATTTATTTAGCAACTGTAATTGTTTTGATTATGTTTCGGAGAGTAAAATCAATGAAATAAAATCGAAACTCAGATGAAAAGATTTGCTTATCTAAAATTTATATTTTGCGTCGAATTAATTTATAATGAGTATATTTTATGAAATTCATCTTTTATTACTACTCTAACATTTTCAACAATTTAATCACACCTTCTTATAATGGTTTTCGGTTTGTTGAAATGGAAACCAAATTCCGCTATGCTAACTATTAACAAACTGTCTTCATACGAACTCATAACATTAATCAGAAATATTATGTCAAGAAAAGTCTTCCTCGACTGTTTCAACTTCCGATTGAACTATATAAATTATTCAACTCAGTTTGTCACCCATTTTAAAAATTTTAGTATAATTTATCACATCACCAAATATGGTGTCGTGAAACTGGTTAGAATACTTAAGTCTTTGCTTTAGTAGACTTAATATCTATATTTAAGCAGCGGAATAGAACACCTTGAAGATTTCACGTTCAAAATCCAGATTTCTTAATTAATTGATTAATAGATAGCGCACTTTTCATTACCAAAAAAACACGCGAATCTATTATGACACAGAACGGACAGTAATATCGCCTTATGTGCAATCGAATCGAGTTTGCAGACTAAATATTGATGAGTGTCCAAAATTTACATCTAGATTATCACCATTGTTTTGACTTCAATATTCATAAATTTCTGAGTTGAAGTTGCAACCTACAGATACCATTTCCTATATAACAGCTATCACTTCAGAGTCCATAAAGCATATGATCTCAGTGTTCCAGAGCACATTGCTGATAGTAGACTTTCTTCATACTCCCAGACTACTTTGCCGCAGTAAGCAGTGATTCCGCCGATTATAACAGAAGGCATTTTAGGACAATCTGATTATGTATTTGTTTTCAATATTTTACTACGTTATACTGGGGTGCGCGATAGACTTACCTCCTCGTGGTGCACCCTGGACAACGTATTTTCTTACGGCAAAAAAGTCTATCAATCGGCATACGTTTTTGACTTCGATTAATTATGATTAGCTTTGAAAAAGGCTATAAGAAAAATCGCCCTCGTCAGGGCGAATCACAATGTCTTCAGATCCTCCAGTGGAATGCTGGAGGAATGTCTCCGGACAAAAAGATCCAAATACAGAAAATCCTGCAAACCTATGATGTAGACATTTTCCCAATTATGGAAGCTATCATTTCGGATGACAAACTGAAGTATTACCAATTCCCAGGTTACACTCTATACAATCTACCTAAACACCGGCAAGTTGCAAGTGGAATTCTAACTGGAGTAAAAGATGGCCTAACCTCACACTACGACCTAATCAAGAGTATGGGCTCGACACAAGACAAATGTGA